AATATTTTCGTATGGAAACTGATCAACAAATTGCATTAGTTCAATATGATTATACTGATCAAATACTTAAACGTGCTTATTTCGCTCAAAATCCTAATGAAAATCAAGTATGTTAATTTGAATTATTTCTTACTTAGTGTCATTGTTTATATTAAGATCAAAATAATGAAAAATTTATGTAAACTCAAATTAAATCAAGAAATGACGAAACATGAAGTTAATTTATTAAAAGAAAATATCTTGTCATATATACCTTCTCATCCATTTGAACGAGAGTCTAGCATTGCACAAACATCATTCATCGATCGTATTCATAATCCTAAAATTCGACAACAATTATATAAACAATATAAGAATGTTGCTGAACAAGCGAGAAATAGTATGATGACTGTTTATATGAAATGTGCTGAAGGACAAAAACAACAATGCCAAATACAATATGATATGGGCTTGAAAAATATTTATGATACCGAAAAAAATCATCCACCTCATCAACGATTAACTAAATCTATGTGGTATCTAATCGAACATCTTTCAGCTAATATTACTGCACGTATTGAATGTTTATACAAGTTTAAAAAAGAATTATTTCAATTGAAATCCAATATTCATTAATTCTTCTATTTTACTTATACTTGATTTATCTATCTATCTGTCTTGAAGGATTAATCTATTAATACTAATAAAACACAAATCTCTTCTTCTTTTTCATTTTCAGATATATTAAAGTTATTCATTTTTCATGAATATTCAACAAAAAAATACTACAGTGTCAAGTAGCCAACAATCCAGTGTCAATAATCCACGACCGTTGCCACCAATGATAACTACTGACCAACAACAGCAACAACGTGAGAAATCAAGTAAAAAGAAGAGACGAACAACTAAGAGATGTCATGGTAATCAAAAACTACGGCGTTTTAAAAAGAAATGTGTGAAAAGAGGACTGAACAGAGAAGAAATACAGAAACGAATCGATGAATATAATTGTAAGAAAAATGCAAATCAAGTATCAAATGAAGGTACTGAACAAATGGAAGTAACTACAACGACGAAAAATAAAGAAACTAAAAGAAAATCAAACAAACGTAAACGAATGTCAACTTCGATAAGTTTACGATCTATTACACAACCAGTGCCAAAAAAAATAAAGAGAAAAAGTGTATCAACAATCAATCCGATGTCGAAACAAACGAATTATCAATTACCAAAATATTTGAAAAAATCACCAAATGTACTTTTTCAATCTTTACGTTTACAATTAGATCAAAAGTTAAATACGAAGGTTCAACAAAGATTTCTTCATTATCGTCTTCAATTGATTGATCAACAACATCGTTTAAATCTTCATCAAAATTTGTGGCAATCTTATTGTACTCTAGGCTGTGAACAACAAATATGGCCAGTAAGCTTTTCTTCAATATATGATTATTTTCATAACAAAAATCCTTTTTTT